TTTTAGCATTGAGTTGCTTTTAATGGAAAATAAATGTTAATTAATGGCAGGTTTAGCCTTTCCTTTCTTCTCTCAACGTGTGACTTGTTTAATTGGAACTGATCAGGTATTGATTCTTTATCATAGCTGCCACAAATACGCTAACTAAAGCAGTATGGGGTCTTGCTTGACCTCAGTTTTGTTTTGTTTTTCCAAGACTTTGAAGTCTTGAAAATGTTATGCAATCTGATCCTGTAGCCCTAATGTGAAAGTTATTCAAAAGTTGGCTTACATTAATAACCTTATTGAGAATTGGGGAGTAACTAATTGTATATATCTGTAAGTATGTTAAATGTAACAAACTAGACCTAGTTCTTTGTCAGTCTGTTCTTGTAAGTGCTTATAATGCTATGTATCTTGGATCATAGTCTCATTCTATTATTTTACTAGAGTAGCTTAGAAGCTTTTACTAATCACACTGCACTAATTGAATTCTCATGTTACAGACTACAAGTTTAACTTTTTTTTTTTTTTTTTTTTTTTTGATTGGGAAGGTCTCATGATGGGAAGGCACATGGACACATGATTTCCCAGGAGACAGTGCAGTTTATTATAATGTATGAATATATATCTACTCAAACATGCCTCTTCTTCCCCCTCCTTTCCACTGCAGAATGTCTCAGATATAATACAGAATTACTTCGTTTCATAAACTGGGTTATGAAAGGCTGTGGGAGTGTTGCATATGTGGCAAGGTAGGTCATACAAGATTTATAAGGAGCACTAGCTGGCTTGTGCTCAGCATGTATAAGCTGTATGGCTGTGGCTGCCATTCCTTACTTCGCTGTGCACCATTGTCAGTAAAGCTAGTGTAATTCTTATTTGTGTAATAGAGACATTAGAGCTTAACTAAGATTGCAAGCGCTTTGTAGTTTCTAAGACCGTTTGGAAAATTAAACACTATGTTGTGAAATACATCACTGTTAGTCTGAAAGACTTTTAGCTAGAGGAAAACATACTTGCTTAGCTGGAGGCATCTCTGCAGTCCTGTTTGGCTTAATTGCCTTAAAAGCTTGGAACTGGAGGGGAAAGACAGCTCTTAAGCATGCTGTGTCAGTTGTCCGGAAGCTCTTAAAAGACCCTTTTTTTGGCTTTTGAAAATAAAGTCTTGGGAAGGTTAAACAGAGTAGAGTTGGGAAGTGGCAGTCCTTTAGAGGCCTTTCTCTTCTAAGATGAAAGTATTTCAAGGACTATGCTTGGAGCAGCTTTCTCTTATCTCTGGGGTGCTCTTGAGAGCAAGCTTGTGGGGAGGGAGCTGGCTGGCAGTGGCACGTATTCTGCAACACTGTTTTGTCTGTAAGAAGTTTTAGAAGTACTGAGGAACAAGGCAGCAAGGCAAGGTGCTAAGATGTTGGGGACTTGGAGCACGGTTTATGGATACAGTATTAAGAGATGCCCAGTACCTTTGCAGTGTGCAGGTCTGAACATCAACTCTACCATTACTGATCTAGCCTCCTTTAACAGCACATATGCAAAGGAACTTAACAAAGTGAACCTTTCTGTTAGCAGCAGTCTTTTTGTTTTCCTGTCAGAGACCACAGCATGGCCCAGAGGTAGAGATTTAAGTTACAACTGAAATTTTCTGTGCAGCTTTTATTGCTCTCTGAAATTCAAGCAACCTTTTCCTCTAGGGAGTCTCTCTCTGCTCCACCCACAAGCCCGAGCAGTCAGTGATCCAGAGAAAAGGTTTATTAAGGTCTGAGGGGAAATAAGTTATTTGCGCAGGATAGCCACTTGCCATTGTCTACTTCTGTTTACAGAGAAGTAACTTAATATGGCTTTTCCTGGTGCTGCTTGTTTGGTTTGGGATTTGTTGTTGTTGTTAGGTTCCACTGACAGTCTCCGTATCTCTGACAGATGCATAGTCAGGAAGACACGAGTGACGGCAGCGTCTGGAGTCAAAGTGGGCTTTGGCTCCAGCTCATGTCTGGGTACCTTTTTCAGGGTTAGTCTTTGCTGTGTTGATAAATAGCTGGTCCAGGATGGTAGCAGTGCACATTTGTTTGAAGGCACAGAGAGCTACTCAAGTAGATAGGTTGCATTAAAAATTGTTCACTGGGAAGTAGTTAATTTTTAGTAAGAAAAAAACAAAACTAAAACCTGTTTCCTCTGTTTTAAAACATTGACAAATTTATTTTTGCTTTTTTAGAAAAACGTGTCATTGGTTACAGGCAGGTTAGTTTATTTTGAATTCTATTTGGAGCAGCGTGCTGTGTTGAATTTTATGTCTGTATGCTACGGCAATCTAGAGAGAACAATACATTGCACAGAGTACATACGTTTGTCCTAAAAGTAATTTGCACTTATTCCTAGTTGAACAGTTTTTGCTGACTTTGATATGACAAAACCATCAATATGCTTTCAGAAACATTTCTTATTAGAATAGTTAAAGTTAGTGGGTTTACAAGGTCAGAAGAAACAAATAACAAAACAAAAAAGCAAGTATTTGCCGTGAATTTTGCAGCTGTTTCCTGGGAAGATCTTAGATGCTTCTGGTGCTGCTCTGATTTTTGCTTTTGTTTTTAACACAATGCTTCCGTATTCCTCCCAGATAAAGAAACCACAAGATGCAATGAGGTGAAGGATGCTAAAGTGCAGGTATGTCACTATCCGCTTGAAGGTGAAAGAAGATATCTCAGAATCTGGGAATGCAGCTGTATGTTGTGGAAATTATGCTAAAAATGGAGTCTCAGGAAGTCAAAATCTTCTGGTCAGCCTGGGAGCAATCAGGAGACTGGCAATTTCAGATGTAGCCATTATTGTTCCTCATTTATTCTCTTGGATTATTCTGATTGCTTACTGAATTTATACTGATTAGTCTGTAGCGTCTGTGAAGTAATTCTGTGACTTTTCCTTTGAGTGCTACAGGTTAAAAAATAATTTGGGTTGTTCCCAAGCTTTAGCCAAACTATCTTCGGGCATGGTGGGTTTGCTTGTTTTTGTTGTAATTTCTGGTGAATGCAGCGCATCCTTTGCAGATTTTTAGATGTGTATTTTTTTTTCAGTTGCAAAATGCTCTCAGCCCAATGTGAAAGGTCTAGAGATACAATATGAGTCTCTTCATGACTGCTTCTGGTTGTCCTATAGCAGATGGTGTCTCACCCTCTGAGTTGAGGGTGCAGCTTTTACCTGCAGACACATGGGACTGTGCCAAGGAGAACCCTCCAACTGACCTGCCCTAACACACCCGCTTGCTGTTGCGTGCTGTTTGTTCAGATACATGTGGGTAAAAGCACCTGTGATTGAGAAGCACTTGCTTGTAGTTGGGAATTGGGAAAAGGGTTTGTTTTTATGTGTAAATAAACATAAATCAGTTGCCCTCAGATGTCAGTTCCCTTTCATTTTCCTGTGTGTGAAATCACAAGCGTGCTTGTACACTGCAAGGGGGATGCCTGCACTGAGCGGCACTGCTCCTCTTACATAGGAGCCAAGCAAAAAAGCCTACTTTGCAGTTCAGTGATCTCCTCTTCTGTTGCCTTTGTTTACAGCTGGAGAAATTGTTTCATAATGGTGTTTTTTTTGTTTGTTTTTCTGTTTTTTTTTTTTTTTTTTCCCCCTCCCTCATATTTCTGTCCTTGGAGAAAAAATTATCAGTCTGGTCGCTGTCTGTGCGCTCAGGGAACAAACATATCCTTGATTAACAGTAAGATTGACTAATACAAAAGGAGTTAAACTTCTGAAAATGATCTGCATAGAATTTCTTTCCCTGGGATTGTGTGCTTCTCATCCTTTCCAATTCTTTTTGGCAAAAGAGTGAATGTATTTTTAAAGCCATAAACACGTTCCAGTACTCATAAGACTCACAAGTGGCTCTTGGATCCTACCAGTTACATTTTCTTAGGCGTTGGCACAGTCATTGCGTTCTGTTTATAAACTAATGTTAACTTCAGATATTGCAGAAATGTGTCCACACATGGAAGAGCAGTCCTGTTACTAGTCTTGGAGAGACCAAGCCAGTGTGGCACCAGATGCAGCTCTTCAGAGCTGCAATTGCAGCTACGTGCAGTCGTTCTCTGGGAGTCATTCTGTGTATTTGTATAAAACCGTTTTTGCACTTTAAAATAATTTATACTTTTATACTAATTTTATACATATTCTGTGTAGCTTCCCACATTAGCTATAGTAGTTGGAGCATAGCATCACCGTGGTAGTGGGAGGGGGGCGAGGATGTACGTGGGTGCTCAGCTATAATTTTATTTTTCAAATGTGAGTTGATAGTTTTAAGAATTCCTTCTTTGGACATAGCTCACAGGAGCAGTTTGTTTCGTTCTTCTCAGAGACAAATCTTGTCAGAAGCTAATGATGGTAGAGCATTGCTCATTGCTTCCTGTTCTCTGTAGATGCTTGTTGTGTAAAGACCCACTAGACTGTAGTATCCCAACGATGCCTCCTAACCGAACCGCTTTTGTCAGCAGAGTTGCTGTTATTTGTTGGAGGATGTTGTGCATCGCAGCAGGGAGCACCGTAGGCGTGGCGGGCAGTCCTGCAGCAGTGCTGCTGCTGCACAGCTCAGCTGCTCCCTGTGTGCTGTGAATCACTGGGTGTACAGAGTTGCCCTGCACTTAATTTTATTGCTTTTCTTTGAGGTAGGAAAGTGCTGGTTTTGTCAGATTTGGAAGATTGGGAAAAGCTTCACCTAGACATCTACAAATCCAATATATTACATTAAGAGTAAATAGTCTCTTTTTTCGTGCATCTAAGTGCATGTACATCAATAACATTCCTACTTTCAGCTTTAGCGTGTATCATTATTTGGCATTCTGCTTAACGATGACTGACCTTCAGAGATTAGAGCCCACAAACCTGCCAAATTCTCTGCTACAGTACAGGTGTCATGCCAGTTTTTATTAACATTTCTGTCTTCGTGTCAAGTAAAATTTGGTATTCCAAATTATTGGTGTTTCAGCTATTGATGAGCTTTCTTTTTTTTTTTTTTTCTTTTTCCAAATCCTCTCCTCCAGATATGAAGATGAATAATGCAGAGCACTGGTTTCGATGATGCTGGGCTTTTATGACTGGATTCATTAAGGAATACAAAGAAAATTCTTACAGGGATCAATAATGGTGTCTTCTGGTTGCAGAATGCAAAGTTTTTGGTTCCTGCTCATTGTCAGCTTCCTGCAGTGTACTACTGAAGGTAAGCTTTAGTTTATTTTATGCCTGCATTTGGAAATGAGATGAATGGTCTGTACAATTAATTTTGGTTAGGTGACTTAACGCTTTAGGATTTCAAACTAAGAGTATATGTGTCAGTTTCTACGTTGAATTTATAAGACTCAAATTATTCTCTTTTTTAAGAAAAAAAAAAACTTTTTTGCTCTTGTTTTGATGCAGTGTAGTATGCTGTAACTGTAAAGTTCAGGCACCTGAAGAGACAGTATTAATCTCCTTGGTGGGTAGATTCCTCAGCTTTGAATTCATCTATTTATCTTCCATTTTTCTGTTCACATTGTGCCATTTATGAACAATATATACTATTTTAAATGTGACATATAATAACTAAATAGTGCAAATGAAATACCTATTTTGCTTTCCTAATTTGGCTGGCTGGAAATAAAACAGCACTCACTTCATTAAGATCAGAGCTATGCATGTTTAATTTCAGGAAATAGTTCATACAGGAATAGCATCTACTTAAAAATTTTTTGCTTTAAAAAAAAAACAACTTCACTGCTATCAAATGTACTGTTTAAAATAGCTGTTGAATTAAGGAGATAAGGAAGAAAAAAACGTTTTTAAAGAAAACTTCATAAACTCCATTTTATTTAATTAGTCTGTCTTCCCAGCTGTTCTTATAGCCCTCCCACTTAGTAATAGCCAGAGCAGCATGAATGAATGATCATTGAAACCTGGTTTTTGAATTTCTAATGACGAATATTTGTAAGGAACTTCAGGCTATTTCTGGTTATAATCATTTTATTTTACTAGATTGCAGGTGAAAATTCTGGTTTGGTAATAAAATGGTACTTCTGTGCCTTTCTTACATTATTCAGTAATTGGTATATAAAATATAGGCTGCTTTGGTACATCTGTGGTGTGATCTCACCATCTTTTAAAGCAGACACATACAGACTATTAAAATTCTTTGAATTTTAAGGCTGAATTTTTAGAGATGCTTCAGGAAAGCTGCTGAGCCTCCCCCTCTCTTTCCTCCCAAATCTATATAAACACAAAAGATCTAGTTCCTAAAAATGGTAAAACTAAAGGTTAAAAATATAAATATTGTATAAGGTCTTTCACATTTCCTGTGTAATTTCCTAGCATCTATTCCAGACTAAGACTTGGATCTTGACAGACAAACATTGCTAAAATATATTGTTTTTATATATATATATTTATATGTTATTTTATAAAATAAAATGAACATAGCCAGGAGTATGTATTAAGAGTCTTTCTGAAGGTTTCTGGAATGAAATCTAATTCCATTTAAATCGCTTCCACAGTCAGTTTCTCGTACTTCCCCTATTTCTTCTGAAGCATTGCTAGGATACTATTAGAAATCTGCCTTCAAAAGGCGTACTGCAGCTCTTGCATGATTTCCTCACTGATCATGCCTCCTGATTTAGTACCTGCTGTACTGCTTGCTCTCTTGATGTCTGCCAAGTCTGTGGTCTTGAGTAGAATCTCACTTGTGTAAGAAAAGTCCCAGCTGGAAGGTATGTTACCTTTCAGCCTCTTTAGGCAGGTAGGGAAGATAAATGTGTATTGGGAGAATTACTACCTTTATGAAAGACTGGTTAGTTGGTAATGTGTGATAATTTTAAATGTACTTATGTAGCAAAAGTGGTTGCACTAGTGTGCAGGAATTAGAGATACTCATTTATACTTTAAAATGCTAAGGTTTTATCTCTTACTGTAACAGATATAGGGATTTACAGCAATTGCATTTTAGAAAGATTCACCAGACTACTTGCAGTTTAATACTGTGCGGTGGTTGAAAACTCCTGAAAACAGAAAGGAAAAGGAGATTAACAATTTACTTACTCTGGTTTAGCAACAGTAGCGAACAGCATGCTGCAAGTAGCATTTTATCAGCTGAGTTTGGAAAGGAAGAAGTCAGCTGAGAACTTCTGCAGATTGATTTTTTTTTTTTTCTATTTGCAGAAAGCTAATTTTCATTGTCATCTGTAATATTTCAAGTTCATTTTGTTCTGTCCCTGTTTTTTCTTGCTTTTAGTAGCCAGTAGCAATCTTTTGATGCTTCAGTTGTGAATTTACTTTTTTAAAGTCTGCATGAGAGCTGCTTTTTCAGCTAAAAGAAACAGGGAAAGAAATTGGGAGCAGATAACAGAATCATACCAAATTAATTGTAAATTCTTAAAATAAATGAAATATTGTGGCTCTGTATACTGAAAATGAATATTAATATAGAGTTGGCTTCCAGCCACAGAAGCAAAATGAATACCGCATTATTACACTTTCTCACAAGATTACATTGCCTTCTGCTTCAGTAATAAGTGATGCCAAGTGTAACGTGCTTTAGTAGCACTTCATGCCTGGAAGTACGAACATGAACAAAGGTTAAAATAAGAGCATCTAACTTTTGCTAGAAATAAGAAAATCTTTAACTCTCACTCGGAACTTAGTTTTTTTTTCAATAGAAATCTTCTGTGTGTATGCAGGTTGTTGCAGTAGGTGTGGGAGATGAAACCTGGCTGAATTCCCTGCTGTTACATTTTAATGTTGCTGTAGAGAGAGGGGAAGAAAGGAAAAAGACTCTGGGTGTGGACCAGTGATTCATTTGTTCGTATAATAAGATATTTTCCAATCAAGATAAAGACTTCATTACTCTCACAGCACCTTAACTTTAACTCTCTGGGGAATTAACAAGCACCCATGGTCACAGGAATGCTACAGTTTTATTTTAGTGTCACCTATCTAAATAAGAGTCATATTTTCAGTGGAATAGCTTTTGCTTTTTTTTTTTTTTTTTTTTCCTGGATAGAGTGGTCCGGGTGAGGTTGCTTTTGAAGCAGTCTATCCCTTCAGGTGAAATGAATCTGGAACACACAAGCACTGGCAGCTGGGAGGAGAACAGCACCAAGTTATTATATACTGCTGGTACATTGATCAACAACAGGTCAATATTCTTGTGTAGAGGCTTGGAAAACATTATTGCCATCAACAGCAAGCATTGCAGCCCTAAACAAGGAAAAGATGAGAAGCATGAAAAGGGGATTAAAAGCGGAAGTAATGACTTTGAATATTAACATTATTTCAGAATGTTTTTCTTTCCTTTTTTTCTAGCATATTCTCATAGGTTTATCTTTAAAACTATGGCTTTATTACAAAAGGCAGATTGAGAGGGCAGTCTTGAAAAGTTGCTTGAAGTAGAGGTAGACAGGTGGTTGGGTGAAGCGTGGCCTCATGTCCTGGATGATTGCCCAGGGAGACAAGGCTGAGGCTGCACAAGGCTCTTTCTTTGGGAGGTCAGTGCTGCCCACAGCTGCCCCGCTTAGCTGATTCCTCTTCATTACTTCTCTGTTTCCTTACAATTGCAAGAAAGGAATTAACTTTTGACACCAAGTCTGTCTTTATTTTTTTCTTCATTCCAATTAGGTGAAATCATGCAACACGTTAAAAATTATCTGAGAAAATACAGAAAGTCAGAGATAGTGGGACCACACGTGCCTTGTTTCCATAGCAAAACAGAGTAAAAAGCTTATTATATACTATTGGTTTCTCTTCAAGCAAGTTAAGACAGATACACTAATATGCATATCAAAAAGTAGGTGTCAGAGCTAAACATGATTAAAATTATTTTTTGTGCAGTATAAATTAAACTATTTTAGGCCTTACTGTCATGCAAGTCCACCTTTTCTGCTAATTTTGGATGCGTATATATACTTAATACTCTTCTGATTGAGAAGCACAAGCATTTGGAAAACACTGAAATAATTTTTCTTTGCTTGCATTTTATTTTAATCAAGGTTTAATATAATTTTAATTCATTTTATTATGAATTATTATCTGTGCTTTGTCCAAAGCAAGAAGCATCATGCTTTCATTATCTGTTTCATTCTGTTTCCTTAAACTGCATTAATGTTGTTTAAAAAGAATCCAGCTTGTCTTTGCCTTTGAATGTACGTTTTAATTAACATTACTCTGAGAATAATAATTCCTGTAAATTCCATTTATGCCAGCCAAGAAGCTAAGTATTCAACTGGAAGCAGTTCTAAGTGTATATCATATCCAATGCTAGTGCATTCACTAAAGAAAATACATACGAAATGCAGATATCATGCATTGGGCCACTACGAAGTTGTTCGGTATTTTACTGTATTGCTTCAAACCTTCAGCTTCCTATAAAGCCACTCAGACTGCATAGTGTAGGCACAGGTCACAGGTAGTCAGCAAATGGTAGGAGCACCTCTGTTTTTGCGCTCATGTATAAAGTAGTATTTGGACATTGCTCAGTATAAAAATTCAAACTCTCATACTCTGAGCTTGAGAAGAAATCAACTTCTGTTAATTAGTGGATTTAAGTTCTGCAAGGGGTGAAACCCATTGCAGTCGCACAAGAGCAAATGGGAGTTACTGATTTGATTCCTGGCTGTGGAGCTTAGCACGATGAAGGCTGTGGGGCATGCAGTCAATAGGCAGCTGTTTGGTTTAGTGGAGTTGTGAACCAGCACGGTGGAGCAGTGAGATTATTGCCAGCCTTTTGATAGCTCATCTTAATACACAGCTCAGTTCTGTCTTCGTTTCTATAATGTATACCTAACATTCTTTAGCAATTCTTTTTTTTCTTGATTGGTTAATGTAGATTGCTTAGAAGAAAATACGTGTGAAAGAAGCTGGGATATTGTGCAGGTTTCCACTGGAATATTCTGATTCATACTGCCTACGACTCTTTTCCTTTTCCTGAGGGAGGTGCAGGCACAACATATCTTCTAAAAAGGAAATTGATCCAAACAATGAGATGAGATTTCTTCTTAAGGAAAAATAACTGTTAAACTTTTCAAGTGCATTTTCAGATAACAGGAACTGACAGACTGTCTGGAAAAGCCAGAGATTCTTTAATGTACCGGCAGTGAATATCCTTTCATATGTTCCCTGAGTAAAGAGATCTGCAGGATCCTATGCTATAACCTTATATTTTTTGAAATAGAGCAATACTGCCACTGTTTAAAATGT